AATTATTGGTTGGAAAAATTCAGCAGACTAATTGAAAATTTCTGGAAGTCCATGATTAAGAGAAATATAAAAAAAATTCTCACGAGTACAGCAAAATAGGATAACTGGGGACATCTATTAAAATTATTTTTCTTTTTTTTTTTGGAAAACCCATATGCTATTTCTAACCATAGGTCCCAGGGCAATATCCGAAAATAAATTCAGTACACATCAGAAATCAAAGGAAAAAATAATAATAATAAAATAATAATAATGGCAGAAGATCAAAAAAATCAAGACCTGTAACGGTAAATCGATGAAGTATACAAACAATAAATGATGACCGAACAGACATCGTGATCAAAGACCGCAAAAACCGAATACGTTTTGTTATTGACATGGCAGAACCTATCAGATTGTAAGAAGAACTTTAAAAAAACTATCATCATTCTCATCCTTCGAATTTCCTCTGGTTTGTTGGAAATTCATTGACAATCTCTTTCCACGCTGTTCGGTCCTGCATTGCTGTCCCCGGATCTCCAATATCCAACACTTTAGTCCCAAAATTATGGTGTCTGGGAAAGTCAATTTTTCGTTAAAAGACACTTTCAGAAGGATGCCAAGGAATAACCTACAAATGGTTTCTATCTATCCGTCTATCTCAGTCTCTTCATATAATAGAAACCTAACGCTAATCAATCTATTCACCTCAGTTTGTTCAAATTCTATCTATCTATCTATCTATCTATCTATCTATCTATCTATCTCAAGTCTGTTGATATTCATCTATCTATATATCTTTCTATCTATCTATCTATTATATCCATCTGTTCATATTCATCTATCTATCATGTCATTCTGTTCATATCTATCTATCTATCTATCTATCTATCTATCTATCTATCTATCTCAATAATTCATATATGTTTATCTATTTATAGTAAAAAATCATTTTTTCATGCATTTTTATAAACTAAATTAAATCATTTTTAATGTTTTTTATAGTAAAAAATCATTTGAAATGCATTTTTAAAGTTCAAAACTTTTTTCAGATTATGATATTTTATATAGATAAAAATCATTAAATATTTTTCAATTATTTTAAAATAGTAAAAATCATTGGCAATGAATTTTTATAGTAAAAATCATTTTAATGCATTTTTTATAGTAAAAATCATTGGCAATGCATTTTTTTTTGAGTAAAAAATCATTGGAAAATGCATTTTATAGTAAAATCATTTGAAATGCATTTTTTTATAGTAAAATTTTTATTAAATTTTATAGTAAAATCATTTTCAATGTTCATTGATAAAAATACATTTATGAATCTAACATAAAAAAATCATTTTTAATGCATTTTTATAGTAAAAATCATTTGCAATGCATTTTTTAAGTAAAATCATTTAGATAATGCATTTTTGAATTAGTAAAATCATTGGCAATGCATTTTTATAGTAAAAATCATTTTGCAATGCATTTTATAGTAAAAATCATTTTGTTTGCATTTTTATAGTAAAAATCATTTCCAATGCATTTTTATAGTAAAAATCATTTCAATGCATTTTTATAGTAAAAATCATTTGCAATGCATTTTATAGTAAAAATTCATTTTCAATGCATTTTTATAGTAAAAAAATTTTGCATTTTTATTCATAAAAAAATCATTGGCAATGCATTTTTATAGTAAAAATCATTTGTATGCATTTTATAGTAAAAAATCATTTTGCAATGCATTTTTTATAGTAAAAAATCATTTCCAATGCATTTTTATAGTAAATATCATTTGGCAATGCATTTTTATAGTAAAAATCATTGGCAATGCATTTTTTATAGTAAAATCATTTATAATAATGCATTTCTATAGTAAAAATCCATTTTTGAATGCATTTTATAGTAAAAATAATTTAAAATGCATTTTATAGTAAAAATCATTGGATAATGCATTTTTATAGTAAAAATCATTTAAATGCATTTTATAGTAAAAAATCATTTGCAATGCATTTTATAGTAAAAATCATTGGAAATGCATTTTCAAAAAAAAATCATTTTTAATGCATTTTATATTAAAAAAATCATTTGGATTGATTTATAGTAAAAATTTTCTAATGCATTTTTTATAGTAAAAATCATTTGCATTGCATTTTTTATAGTAAAAATCATTTTGTGAATGCATTTTCATATAGTAAAAAATCATTGACAATGCATTTTTATAGTAAAAAATCATTTGTCATGCATTTTTTATAGTAAAAAATTTTTTTAATGCATTTTATAGTAAAAATCATTTTTAATGCATTTTATAGTAAAAATCATTTTAAATGCATTTTTTATAGTAAAAATCATTTGATAAATGCATTTTTATAGTAAAAAATTTTATTTTTCATAGTAAAAATCATTTTTAATATTTTTATAGTAAAATCATTTTGTAATGCATTTTTATAGTAAAAATCATTTGCAATGCATTTTTATAGTAAAAATCATTTTCAATGCATTTATTAGTAAAAAATCATTTGAAATGCATTTTATAGTAAAAATCATTTTCAATGCATTTTATATAAAAAAAAATCATTTTTTAAAATGCATTTTATAGTAAAAATCATTTGCAATGCATTTTTATAGTAAAAATCATTTCCAAATGCATTTTTATAGTAAAAATCATTTGCAATGCATTTTATAGTTAAAAATCATTTCCATGCATTTTTATAGTAAAAATCATTTTCAATGCATTTTTATAGTAAAAATCATTTTATAATGCATTTTTATAGTAAAAATCATTTGCAATGCATTTTATAGTAAAAATCATTTGCAATGCATTTTATAGTAAAATCATTTGGCAATGCATTTTATAATAAAAATCATTTGCAATGCATTTTATAGTAAAAATCATTTGCAATGCATTTTTATAGTAAAAATCATTTGTCATGCATTTTTTTAGTAAAAAATCAAATTTTCAATGCATTTTTATAGTAAAAATCATTGGCAATGCATTTTTCATAGAGTAAAAAATCATTTTTAATGCATTTTTATAGTAAAAATCATTTTTTTGTCATGCATTTTTTCATAGTAAAAATTCATTTGCAATGCATTTTTTATAGTAAAAATCATTTGCAATGCATTTTTATAGTAAAAAATCATTTTGCAATGCATTTTTATAGTTATAGTAAAAAATCATTTGCAATGCATTTTTATAGTAAAAAATCATTTGCAATGCATTTTATAGTAAAAATCATTTGCAATGCATTTTTATAGTAAAAAACATTTTTCAATGCATTTTTATAGTAAAATCATTTGTCAATGCATTTTTATAGTAAAAATCATTTATATAATGCATTTTATAGTAAAAATCATTTTTAATGGTATATTATGCATTTTTATAGTAAAAATCATTTTTAATGCATTTTATAGTAAAAAATCATTTTGCAATGCATTTTATAGTAAAAATCATTTGGCAATGCATTTTTAAAGTAAAAATCATTTGCAATGCATTTTTATAGTAAAAATCATTTTTAATGTTTTTTTATAGTAAAAATCATTTTAATGCATTTTTATAGTAAAATCATTTGCAATGCATTTTTATAGTAAAAATCATTTTTATAAATTCAAAAATTTTTATAGTAAAAAAATCATTTGTCATCGCATTTTTATAGTAAAAATCATTGGCAATGCATTTTTATAGTAAAAATCATTTGCAATGCATTTTTATAGTAAAATCATTTTGGCAATGCATTTTATAGTAAAAATCATTTTGCAATGCATTTTATAGTAAAAAAAAAATTTGCAATGCATTTTTATAGTAAAAATCATTTTCATGCATTTTTATAGTAAAAATCATTTCAAATGCATTTTATAGTAAAAAATCATTTTTAATGCATTTTATAGTAAAAATCATTTGGCAATGCATTTTTTATAGTAAAAAATCATTGGCAATGCATTTTTTAAAGTAAAAAATCATTTGCAATGCATTTTTATAGTAAAAATCATTTGTCAATGCATTTTTATAGTAAAAAATCATTTTCAATGCATTTTATAGTAAAAATCATTTTAATGCATTTTTATAGTAAAAATCATTTGGCAATGCATTTTTTATAGTAAAAATCATTGGCAATGCATTTTTATAGTAAAAATCATTTTAATGCATTTTTATAGTAAAAATCATTTTCCTTTTGCATTTTTAAAGTAAAAATCATTGGCAATGATTTTTTATAGTTGTAAGCTTTTTTCCAAAAGGTTTTAAATGAATGAAGAATAACCAAACGGATTTTGGAAATGAAATGGTAATCTTTATAACATCAATATTTTACAATAATTGTCGCCAAAACAGTTTGTTTTTAGGTAAACCAATTTGTGGTGGACTCCTTAAACATCATATTATCCCCACTTACAATAGTGTCCATCGTATTTATGTTTTAGTGTTCATAGGTACGGTATATAACAAATAATAATAATAAATGGATACAAATACTGAAGCGACCCATGAAGATATGTCCTGACATCAACAGCCACCCGATAGCTTTGGTTTAAAGTCGGAAATACATGGAATATATTTTGTTCTTAAGAAAAGACCACAGTGCTACAATAATAAATAGTTATAATCTTATTGTCGCCAAGAAGCGGGTATAGGAAAATGAAAAAAAGCAAAAAATAACAACGTCCAATCTGATAAAAGCGATTGGAAAGAAAATTAAGATGTTTGTTTGAATCCTTGATGATCACGCTGACAGCCCACGGAGGTAAACGGTCTTTGAAAGAATTGGAAATCTCGCAGCTGAGGAGGTAGGAAATTCGTTGAATAGAAACAAACATGGACGATTATTGCCGAAGCTGGCAGCGACCACACTTTTAATGAAATAGGAAGGTTGACTTTCAAAGAAGACAAAAAAAACAAATAATAAATAAATATCTGAATTTTATGATTCAGAAAAAATAGCGGTAAATGAATGGAAACTTATTAAGCGTTGGTGAGGCTGATACAAGGCCATATTTTTTACAAATTCTAATAATTCAAAGTAAGAGATTCTCTTTGAATGCTATCATATTCAAAGAAGAATACTTTTGTCGTTAAGTAGATTCTGTTTCGGTTCTGCTGTCAAAGACAATTCTGTATTCTGTTATGATCTTCATTGTTTTTGAATTTTCGAAAGGAAACTAATTTTTTTTTTCAATTTTTTCAACAATTATTTTTCAAAAATTCAAACTCAGTCTCTTCATATCTATCTATCTATCTTTCATCTATCTATCTATTCTGTCTATCTATCTATCTATCTCATATCTCTTTTCTTTCTATCTATCTATCTATCTATCTATCTATCTATCTTTCTCCTTGTTCACATCTTTTCATTCATCTTTCTATCTATCTATCTATCTATCTCTTGTCTCTTCAATCTATCTATCAATCTCAGTCTCATCACATTCATCTATCTATTTTTTCTGTTCATCATCTATCTATCTATCTCAATCTCTTCATATCTATCTATCTATCTATCTATCTATCTATCTATCTATCTTCATTCTGTTCAAAAATCTTCTATCTATCTATCTATCTCAGTATGTTCATCTATCTATCTATCTATCTATCTATCTCAATCTCTTCATATCTTTCTATCTATTTATCTATCTATCTATCTATCTATCTATCTCAGTCTGTCTTTGTTTTTTCTATCATCTGTTCCATCTATCTATCTATCTATCTATCTATCTATCTCAGTCTGTTTTCATCTATCTAAATTTCATCTATCTATCTCTATCTATCTATCTATCTATCTATTTTGATCTTTCTATCATTATCTATCTATCTATCTATCTCAGTCTGTTCACATCTATCTTTCTATCTATCTATTTCTATCTATCTATTCATCTATCTATCTATCTATCTATCTATATATATATATCTATCTATCTATATATATATCTATATATATATATATATCTTTTACTCTCAATTTGTTCAAAACTTATTTATCTATCTTTTTCGTGCATGCCCTAATTTTAGTTAAAGATTTTTTTTTCTATTTGTTTGTAATTTTTGGAACTTTTCCTTTTACCGAAGTAACCCGTTCCAAGATGTCTACCACGCATCTTCACATTTGCCGACCCCGTCCCCGACCAGTTAAAAGAGAAATGCTAAAGATAGACGTGGTCGCCAGTGAAATCAAAGCAAAAAAATACCTTCCATCTCTTTTTTTTTTTCCTCGTCACTTTTCTTCCAATTCCGAATGGACAAAAATGGCTGACGGCCAACATTTCACCAATGGCCAGCTCTTTGCTCGATTTAGTCTCTATTCTTGAATTGAAGAACTGGAACACGCCAAATGTAGCCTTCTTGCAAAAAATAAGGCTCACCCCCGACTGGTCAAAGTCGGCGCCTGTCATATCATATTTTAGAGATATTCCCGTACAAGCTTCGAAATTCTGTTCAAATAGTAGATTATAATCTTGTGATTTTTATGTCAGTTTTTTTTTTCTGGGTTTGTTTTCTGTATTTTCTAACTTCGTCTTCTTCCTTTCATTGTTTTTTTTTTCCTTTCTTTTCATTTCATTTTCTCTTCTTTTATGTATCATTCTTAATCTCTTTTCATGTTTTTTTTTTGGCTTTCTTTCGTTCTTCCATTGTTTCCTTCTCTCTCATGACTTTCTTTTCTTCCTCTCGCCAATTCTTTTTCAATTTTCTTTCACCCGTGTCTTTTCACCATTCTTTCCTGCTTTTTTCGTTGAATTATCTTTCTTTCTTTCCTTGCCTTTTCTTTTTTTTCGTTTTTTTTATTGTATTTCTTTCTTTCTTGATTTCTTAGGTGACTTTTCACTTCTTTCTTTCTTTTTTTCTTTTAATTTATTTCTTTATTTCTTTGCCTTTTCTTTTAAATATATCTTTTGTTTCTTTTTTCTTTGCCTTTTCTTTTTTTCGTTCTTTTTACTTTCTTTCTTTCATTCTACGTTGTATTTCTTTTACTTTTCCTTCTTTCTTTCTTTTTTCTTTTTCCTTCGTTTTAATGGAATTCTTACTTTCTTTCTTTCTTTTCGTTCTTTTCAAGTTTCTTTTTTCGTTCGACTTTTCACAATTTTTCTTTCAATTTTTTTCTGCAACTTTTCATCATTTTTTAATCAAAACCGACTCTTTTCACAATTCTTATTTTTTTTTTCTTTCTTTTCTTTCTTTCTTTCTTTCTTTCTTTCAGACTTTTCACAATTCTTTCTTTTAGTTTTCTTTCTTTTCAGCCGTGACTTTTCAAAATTCGGTTTCTTTCTTTCTTTCTTTCTTTTGAGCGTTTTCTTTCTTTCTTTCGTGAAGAAAAATATTATTTTTTTTTTTTTTAAGGCTTGATATTTTTTCTTTTTTCTTTTTTTTTCAGTTTTTTTTCAAATAATTTTTAAACTTTTTTCTTTCTTTCTTTTCTTTCTTTCTTTTTCATTTTTCGGACATAATTCTTTCCATTTTTTTTTTAACCTTTTTCACATTTTTTTTTTTTTCCTCTTTCTTCTTTCATTATTAAAAAATAAGATGGACTAGGTGGGTTAACCTTAAATGGGCAAGCAGACCAGGAACCCAATAAAATTAAAAAATTTCCTCCAGTCACGAAAGAAAAAAAAAAAAAAAAAGAAGAAAAAAAAAGAAAGAAAGAATTGTGAAAAGTCACGAAAGAAAGAAAGAAAGAAAGAAAGAAAGAAAGAAAGTAAGAATTGTGAAAAGTCACGAAAGAAAGAAAGAAAAAGTAAGAATTGTGAAAATTTATTTAAAAAAAAGAAAATAAAGAAAAAAAGAAAAAGAATTGGAAATTCACGAAAGAAAGAAAGAAAGAAAGAAAGAAAGAAAAATTATTATATTTTTTTTAAACAGAAATTTTTATTTATTTAGATTCAATTCCTTCAAAATTAAGAAGGATCTGTCTAAATTATTGGCAGGGATTTTAATTCAGATTTTCCTTCTCTTAGGCTGGTTACCATTCGAGTCAAATGATTTCGCATGTAATTTGCAGGGGTTTTCTTTCTCTTTCTTTTTTATTGCATCTAGTCTACCGTAGTTTCTATTCTGGATTTAAAGTTACAGGATGTCATTAATATAATTGTAACGGCCCTACCCACCATAATTGCTCAAATATCCGTTTTTATATTAAGTAGTGATTTTTTTCAGCGTAGCTCATTTTTTCTAAGACCGAAAGTATGGGGCACTCAGTGAGGATCGATTACGCACTACTCAGTTGTAGTAGTTCTATGTTTGATTGACTTATTTAACCATTACACCACATCGAGATTCTCCCCTAAGTATAATGGGTGTATGTGTGTGTAATAGTCCAAAAAAAAAAAAGGATTTTGATTCATTCATTCATTATTGAATTGTTTTGATGATAATAATGATTTAATTATACAAGTTATTTAACCCATAGCTGGGGAGTGAAGAGGTGGGTTCGTGCCTAAGCAGTATTTGATAAACGAACAAGAAATTATACTGTGGATGCAAAGTGAGCGATAAATTCTATATTACAATCAATATATACCGAACCCTCAATTTGTAGTCAATGTAGCTTCTGATTATGATCCAGAGAATGTAAATAAATCTGACAGACATGCCTGTGTAGCTAATCAGTATTTCCTTGATTGATTGATTCGTTTTATATGGCTTATCAACAAACAAGAAATTATAATGTGGATATAAAGTGGGGTATCGATCCTACATTACAATCAATATATAAACTGATCCCTCACTTTGTGACCACATTAATTTCTATCTATTTATATTCCAGAGAATGTAAATAAATCTAAAAGACATGCTTTTGTACTAATCAGTATTTCATTGATTGATTGGTTTTCTATGGCTTATCAACAGTCAAGAAATTATAATGTGGATATAAAGTGGGGGTCAATTTCACATTACAATCAATATATAAATTGATCCCTCATTTTGTAAATAAGTCTGTTTCTACATTTTGTTTTTTTCCTGAAAGGACTTGATTGAAAATCTAATTCAATGAAAAATATATATTTTGCCTTCAAAGAAGAAAAAATCTTTTAATTTAAATATATGGGAAATGGTTCAATTTTTTTGTTTTTTTTTAAAAGTAGTTCTATCCAAACAGTACCCAAATCCAGCATAATAAGGCTTTAAAATATTCATCAAAAAAAGCTATTAAAAATGATTCTCTGTTCAAATTAGTTCGATTAGAAAAGAAAAGAAAGATTAAAAAGAAAAGAAACACTGACAGAAGGTTTATTGGAAATTGAAATCAGCAAAAATCCTTCATTTTTTTTATACTTTCCGAATTTTCGTTTCGAAGAATTTGTTCCATTTCGATTGCTTATTATTATTTTGCTTGTCGAGAAAAAGTTATATTTTGAGACGTTTTACACAAAGACATTATATGAATATCTCAGTCAATTGAATTTTAGAGAAAAGATTTCTAAAAAAATAAATTCATAATTGTAACGTTCAAATGTAATTCCTCAGATATTTAGACAAATTAATAAAAACATACGGTTTTATGGGGAATGGCTTTATCTAAGTGTTTTATAAGGATTAGAAGTTGTGCATGTGGATTATTATTTGTATATTTTTTATTTTACGTCTATTCACATGCAAAACGATGTTTTATAGAAAAACAACAAATTTAAATTGAATGGCACGAACAAGAATGATAAATTAAAGATTTAAGAGAGAGAAAGAGATAAAGTAAATGATTTTAAATTTTCAGAATGTCTCTTTTTCATCCTGTGCTTTGTTTTCCTCCAAAAAAGAATCACACAATAAAAACACACACTATTACATACATACATATTATAATATGGTATAACATACATCTGGTTAGATGGTTGTAGTAAAATGGCTATAGAAATAAGTTTTAATTCTTAATATCTATCTATCTATCTATCTATCTATCTATCTATCTATCTATCTATCTCACCCATTCTTTTTATTTCTTTAGATTATCTATCTATTGTATCTTTCTATTTTCTATATTGATTGTAAAAAAAAGAAAATCTATCTATCTATATATATATATCTTTTAGAAGATATTTATATATCTATTTTTATTTATCTAAAAGAAAAAAGAAAAAATGAATATTCATCTATATATCTTAAATATCTATCATCTATCTATCTAAATCATAACATTTATCTATATATATATATTAAAGATATGGTTTCTTTTATTTATTTCTTTAAAAGTTTTATATATATCTATCTATCTATTGTATATATATCTATCTAAAATCTAGATATATTATGTTTATTTATCTATATATCTATCTATATTAAAATAGACTTTTTTGTTTATTCATTTAAAATAAAATAATTTTCAAATGAAGGTATTCAAACTATCTATATATATATATAAAAGTATATCTATCTATCTATATCTATCTATCTCAGTCTGTTCATATATATCTATCTATCTATCTATCTATCTATCTATTTATCTAAATATTTATTTGTTTATATTATATTCTAAATCTATAATTTTGCTAATGTTTTAAAATTATTTAAATATAAATAAATTGAAAATATATATATTAGATGTTTTTATGGATAAATTTTAAATTAAAATATTTAGATATATTTTATACAATCAGATATAAAAAAATGTTTTCTTCAATAAAAAAACGTTGAAAAATGAATTCATTTTTTTTTTTTGTTGACTCCTTTCTATTGTTGTAACAAATTTATTAAAAATTTTCTTTCTCTATCTATCTATCTAATTTATTAAAATGATCATTGTTTTTATAACATTTATTTGTTTTATTTGTTTGTATTTTTTTTTTCGTAATTTTATTTATATATATAATATATAAATATATATATATATATATATTGTATAAAAAGGAGAAGGGCAAAAGGAATTCAAAACCTGCGGAAAATTATTTGTGGGAAATTAGGATATAGTTGATAAGAATAAATAATTTCCCTTTTAAAATATAGATGGTCCCAATAATAATTTTAATTAACCACTATAATCAAATCATGTGCCGATGTCGGGCTGTCATTTCCTAAATAAACTGATCTTTGTTGAATATTATACGTCAATATTCGACGACAATAATGACTATATATATATATATATATATATATATATATATATATATATATATATATATATTGTAAATATAGTGTTTTGATTAGAAAATGATTATGGATTTTAATAGCATTAAACATTAAATTTTGTCTTTTTTTTCGATAAATGTTTGTATTTGTCTATTTCAATGATCTTTCGATTATATATATATATAACTATATATATATATATATATATTATAATAAATTTATAGATGAAGATGAAGATGGTTTATTAAAAAAAAACGTCGGAAGTTGAACATATTAAACATTAAAACAACACAAAATTGTTTAATAAAAATTTTTTTTTTATTTTTTCCCTAATATTTTTTTCTTCATTTTGTCTAATTTATATCCATATATTTGTCAAACCCAAAAGTATATATATTTTGGGTATAATATATTATATATATATATATAAAATATTTAAGTCAAACAATAATATGGTTATAATTATGTGCCTGAAAATTTTCATAAAAAACACAGATACATCACAGGTTACACACACACACACACATATATATATATATATATATATATATATATATATATATATATATATATATATAAATTGGTATATATATATATGAACATTATTTTAAACAAAACAACATTTATTGAGATAAATTTATTTATATTTACTTTTTTTTTTTTCTTTGTCTTTAAGACTAAATAAATTTCCTGTCTACATGAAATAGTAGAGGTAGAAAATAATTTTCTAATGCAAACCATCAAACTTTGTTTTAAATTTTATCATATATATATATATATATATATATATATATACAGTATATATATATATTTGATTTGACGTTTTTCTTTAAATTTTAAAAATTTTAATTCCTCATATACACATAACATGAGAAATAAAATATATATATATATATATATATATATATATATATATATATAATATATAAATATATATATAGTTTCGCATCTTTATGCTTCCCTAAACGAGGCAATATTTTTTTTTTTTTTTTTGTTTGAAAATGGATTTGTCTTGTATTTCTCCAACAAGAATATTAAGTCTTTTCATTTTATCAATTAAAGTGATAAATGCTGTTTGAAAACTTTTTTTTTTATCGTGTTCTTTTATATATGCAGTTATTTTTGATTCTATAAAATCTAAGTATTTTTGATACGACAGATTTCTTTTTCGAATTTATTTAATTTTATATGTGATAAAAAAACTAAACTGCAGAAGAACTCAAAAAATTGATTTTGCAATTTATTTTATTGCATTTCGTTTTTAACCATTTAAAATTAAAGAGGTCAACGACAATTCTTATCAAAAATAAAAAATTAAAGGCAATTTGAAATTCATAAAATCCTCACTTCCCAATTCACAAACAATTATTTTTAATTTATTTTGACCAAAAATTTTAAATTCGTAATTAAAAATTTCAGGTTATAAAAATTGTTAAAATAATATTTTCAATTAATCAATCAAAAATCCCGTAAAAAAATCGTCGAAAATAATATTTTTATAATGAAAACTTGGGAATCATTTATTTCTATTTATAATATGAGAATTGGAAATGAAAAAAAATTGAAAAAAGTTAAATATGTGGTTTTCAATTGATATTTTTTGTATATTTCTGATATATATATATATATATATATATATATATATATATATATATATATATATATATATATATAGTATATATATCTAAATTGATATATGTTTTTAAATAAATCACCCTATAAAATATATAAACTTATATAATATATATATATTTATTACAGATATATGTATTTTACATTAAATATAAATATATATATATATATATATATATATATATATATATATATATATATATATATATATATATATATATATATATAAATATATATATATGATTGTGTATATTTATTCTAAATAGTTTCAATATTTATTTCAATTTTTAATCTATATATATATATATATATATATATTTTATATATATATATATATATATAAATATATATATATAATATATATATATATATATATATATATATATGATATATATATATATTTAAATATATATATTTATATATATATATATTCCCATATGATATATTTTTATATATATATATATATATATATATATATATATATATATATATATATATAATATATATATATATATATATATATATTTGTTATATAATTTTTCTTTCATGCACATTTCATTGAATACGATAGTGCTTTTATTTAGTTTTTTTATACAATTTTTCATGCGATCTAATAATTGTTTTTCGTTTCAGATGATAAATTATATAAAAAAAACGGGCAAAATGTTCTTTTTATCCGAGAGCTTTAGGCTATACATTTAGCCATTTTCAAGGATTAAATATTTTAACTGTTAAATAAGAAATAGTTTGTTGCACAGTGTGTGTTTATATAATGTTTTCATTTTTCAAAACACAGTCAAGATATTGTGTCCATGTTCATAGTTGATATTATTAAGTGTTTTTTTTTATTATTAATAAGGCTTCCATTATTTTTAACCTTTTATTGCATCTATATGATGCTATTATATTTGTGTTGTCAACAATTATGTTACGAATAGTGTCTGGTAGGTCTCCAGGAATATTTAAATGAAATCTAATTGAGCTATGATCAGAAAGGTGTAGAGTGAGTCTGCGTGTCAAACATGTCGTAGTGTGGCCTATATAGTTATTTACGACTTCTGATTGATCAGGAATACAATTCCTTAATGGGCATTTAAATTCGTAAATAATATTTGACTTATTTCTTATTTAACAGTTAAAATATTTAATTATTATTTTTAACTAAATGTATATATTTAAAATTAAAATAAAAAACATTTGGACAGCTTTTATATAATTTATCATCCGAAAAGAAAAAATTTTTTAAATTTTTAATAAATTGTATAAAACTTATAATATATATATATATATATATATATATATATATATATATATATATATATATATATATATGAAGAAATGTACTCTGAGGGTACAATATTTATTTATGGGATAAAATGCTATTATATCACAAAATTTCAGAGTGAAAGAAATATAAATTAAATATAATACTATAACATTTATTTATCTCTATTTATTTCTTGTTTCATTTTTATATATGAAATTTTCTAGAATTAACTATAAATTATATTCTATTTTATTAGATGAATAAATTTTCATAATAGTTTTGTATATATAAAAAAAACACCCTGATGATAACATTGGGCTAATGTCAAAATACTCTAATAAATAAATATAAATCAACATTGTAATTTTCTCTATATTTAACTAACAGATAATAACTTAATTTGGATATATTGATATCCTATTGAAAAATAAGTAAGCAAAAACTTGTCTAATTTTTATTCAAATTTATTGTCTTTATTTTCATGTGCCAACATGCAAATAAAACACACTAAAAACACATGTTTACATATATATTATATCATATTTTCCAAGTTTCATCTTATTTTTTGTCGTTGCTTTGAAATTATCATATAAGTGACTATCATTGTTGTTTCGTCCGTTTTTGTTTTATATTGAAATTTCATCTTTGGATTATGGCTTAATTGTATTGCTTAGATTTGATTTAAACATGTATCAATATGGTGATTTCCTTTTCGTCTTTCAATGATAATGTTATTAAAAATATCAACAATATGAAAAATTTTAACAAAAAATAAATAGACAAAACTTGTCTATATTTTTCTCAACAAACATGAATATATATATATATATATATATATATATATATATATATATATATATATATATATATATATATATAAATAAATATATATAGTTTTTGTTTTATATATTTATGGGATAAAGTATTCAAAATCAAAATTTTCCCATGTAAATATTTTTCATATATGATGTAATGGTCAAAATTAATAAAGATGAGATTGTTTTATATACAAAACTTCAAACGTCAGGAAGACAGTCACTCACTTCAATCTTTTCAAACAAATTTTTCTTTTTTTTGTCCTTTAATTTTGCATATTTTTTCTGATCACAAACAGTTCTTCTCCTAGAACATGTTTGCCAAACAAAGGCTATAGAACCCAAAGTCCTGCTATTTACCCCTAGCTGAATTTTATAAAATTTATACTTTTTCCCAAGGGTTATTAATATATTCTCATCCATTATATATATATAAAAAATATATATTCTATATATTAATAGAAATGGACAAAGTCCGACAATTTACATAATAAATCAACGAAGATCCTAAAACGTTCTTTTTATTAATACAAGTATTTAAGTTAACTGCTAAATGTTTAGTTTAATAAAAATTTCATTATAAACAGATAAAAGAAATAAATACTTGTATCTATAAAAAAAGAACATTAAACATAAAATCACATGTTGAAAATATATATATATATATATATATATATATATATATTATATATATAT